ATATGAAAAGGGCTTCCCTGGTGGCTCAGATGCTAAAGAGTCTACCTGCAGTGCGACAGAGGCGAGAGACTCAGGTTCAATCCCTGGGTTGGAAAGATCCCTTGGAGGAGGGAATGGCAGCCCACTCCAATATGAAACCAGTCTTTCCACAAGCAAAAAAAAGGGGTATTTCTTAGCCATCAAAAAGAATGAAATGATGCCATTTGAAACAACATGGAGGGACCTAGAGATTATCATACTAAGTGAAGTAAATCAGACAGAAAGACATATTGCGATAACACATATATGGAATCTTAAAATATGATATTAATACAAATGAACTTATTTAGAAATAGATTCATGGACATAAAAAACAAACGTACGGTTACCAAAGAGGAAAGGAAGGGGAGGGATGAATTAGGAATTTAGGATTAACAAATACACACTACTATATATAAAATATGGGGCTGGTCAGAAAGTTCGTTCAGGTTTTTCTGTACCAGTATGACCTTTTTGGTCAACCCAATAAATAAAAACAAGGGTCTACTGTATAGCACAGGGAGCTATATTCAATATCTTGTAATAACCTACAATGGAAAATAATCTGAAAAAAGAACATGCACACACACACATACACACATATGAATCACTTTGCTGTATAACTGCAATACTGAAAATCAACTATACTTCAATTAAAAATATAAACCCACTCAAATCATTTGTAGGTCTTGTAACCAATTTGATATGCAACTAATTTTTTCCAATTTGTTTTCAATTTTTAGTTGGGGCTTACTTTTTAGAAGTAAATATTTGAAAAAACTTACATATATAGTCTTTCGACCTTTATTGCATTGTATGTTTTCACTTACATTTGTATTTATCAGTACTAAATCCATGGACTTGTACATTTTTATTTTCTATTCTCATATATATAGAATAATAGACTACTGTTAATCTACTCAGTATTATTTAGCAAAAAAAATGTAAAGGAAAATCAGAGACAAGTACAATCAGTGTACCTATTTCCTTATAGAGCTCATCTTGAATTAATTCAGTTAATTATTTAGGTTATGTCACTATCAAGGGAAACTGTTAAAATGTAGTACTTTGTATGTGGAGAAAACACATTTTCTTCCCACGGTGTTTAATAAACATTATTTTTTGTATGTAATGTTAAGTGTTTTGCATTTACATTTCAGTTAATTGACTCTATGAAGACTTTGGTAGGGCTTCCCCGGTGACTCAGAAGGTAAGGAATCCACCTGCAGTGCAGGAGACCTGGGTTCAATCCCTGGATTAGGAAGATCCCTTGGAGAAGGGAAAGGCAACCCACCCCAGTATACATGCCTGGAGAACTCCATGGGCAGAGGAGCCTTGCAGACTATTATAGTCCCTGGGGTCGCAAAGAGTCAGACACAACTGAGTGACTCACACAGACACACACAGACTTTTTTTTCCAGTCTCATGATTTATTATACAAATGGAGTATCACATGGCGAGTTCACATTAGCTTCTTCAAGCGTGGGAACTTAACAGATAATGGACAGTTCACAATCTGTTTATGTTGCTTTTGCAGCTGGAGTTTTTTAGACCTTAACTTGAAGTCTAAGAATATCAAAGCAATACCTCTGTAGGTGGCCAGCACACAATTCATTCTCCCTGTGAGAGTGTAAGAGCTGAAATATTTTTTGACACCAGTGAAATGGAACTAGGCATCAGTTTCTGGACCCCCATGATTTCAGTCTCCCAAAAGGCTCAGACTCCACGGCCTGCGTCCTTCACAGTAAGCCGCTGCCCCTCAGTCCCTCCGGAAGATTCCACCTCCCCCTCACGCAGTCAATCATTAACACAGACTTTGTTAATGATTAAAATTTTCATCCTGCCCAAGACTTAAGTTACAAATTGCAGGAGGACTCTTTACCTGCTAAGCCGTCAGAGAAGCCCCATTAAGGACATATTTGTGTAAAACTGTAAAAACATTATCTAAGTATTGAGAATATAAACTTGAGCCAACCAAAGACCCTGCGCTCATGAAGTTTATATTGTGATACAGGAAACAGACAACACGAAATCTGGCCTTCCCAGTTTCCTATCATCTAACCAACCTCAGAAGTTCCCAAGCTGTATGGCAATGCTATTGTTGCTAATTCTGTCCTCTGTGTGATCTATCATTTTACTGTAACTATCTGAAGACTTCCATCAGGCTCTCCAGGTCTACTTCATATTAATGGTACTCAACTGGAATTGTAGAATATAGTTATTAAACCGTTTTAAAGGAGAAGCAAAATGTGTGTGTGTGTGTGTGTGTGTGTGTGTGTGTATGTATATATATATATAGAGAGAGAGAGAGAAAGAGAGAGAAATACCTTTGAAAATCTGTACTTACAAGATATTAGCAGGTATTTATTTTTCATGTTAAAAAGATGATTACTGGTGGGGATGTAAACTGATAGTGACATAGCCAATATGGAGAACAATATGGAAGTTCCTTTAAAAAGTAGAACTAGAACTACCATATGATCTAGAAATCCCACTAGTGGCATATACCCAGAGAAAACCATAATTCAAAGCAATACCTGAGCTCCAGTGTTTACTGCAGCACTCTTTATAATAGCCAGGACATGGATGCAACCTAAATGTCCATCGACAGAGGAATCAATAAAGAAGATGTGGAACAGATATACAATGGAATGTTAAATAACTCAGCCATAAAAAGGAATGAAATTGTCTCATTTACAGAGATGTGGATGGGCCTAGAGACTGTCTTACAGAGTGAAGTAAGTCAGAGAGATAAAAACAGATATCATAATATTAACACATACATGTAGAATCTAGAAAAATGGTATAGATGGTCTTATTTGCAAAGCAGAAATAGAGACACAGAGATAAAGACACAGACATTGTATGAGGGAAGGAGATGGTGATGGGATAATTTGGAAGATCAAGATTGACATATATATACTACTATGTATAAAATAGATAATTAATTAGAGCCCACTGCATAGCACAGAGAAATCTACTCGGTGTTCTCTGGTGACCTAAATGGAAAGGAAATCCAAAAAAAGTGATATATATACACATACATATAGCTGATTCAATTTGTTGTATAGCAGAAACTGACACAGCAGTGTAAAGCAACTATATTCCAATAAAAAAGAGGATATTGTTAGACTGAAAGTTAAACATTTGCAGTCACTCTAAAAAAGCTGATTCTGTACCTTACAGGAGGATTTATCTAGGGTGAGTTATTATACTTTTAAAGTCCCCTTAGTACATTTCAGATAATTCAATTTACAAACATCCTGTTTACATACAAGCTACCTCAAAATTGTAATTCAAATTTTTAAGTACGGAATACTCAAATCATGAGTTGTAAATAACAACAAATAACTAAAGATAGATAGCCACTGACATTATTTCATCTAATACTGTCTAAAATAATGTAATATATGTAAGGATACAGGCATAAAATATTAAATAAAGCCCCAAATATTAAATATTATCAGATATGGTCACAAATGTAAGTAAAGGAAGATGGCATTTTTTTTTTTTAACTTATCACTCTGTCTTTTTCCATCACTTCCTTTGCAGGGAGAAGGCCATTAAGAGAGAAAAGATGAAAATACTTTCATTAGCATAACAAACAACAGAGTCAGGTAAGCTTGGAGTATGGGAAATATTAACATATGTTTTCCTATAGACTTTTTAAAAATTTTACAGGATGTCTAGGAGGGTGAGAATGGATGAAAAGAAAACTAGGTGAAACAATTGGGGGCTCGGACATTGAGGATGGTAGGTGGAAAAAAGAATTTGGGAGTTGATGGGAGTGGCGAACACAGATGACCAAGAAAGAGGTCCTAATGGGTGTTACTCTGGTCGACTCTGATAGCCAGGTATCTTAGTAGTATAAATAAAGGGTTTCATTTTCATGTAGACTCCCAGTTCGTGTGTTCATCACTGTCTAATAATATTTTCTTTCTGGCAGTAGATTTCATTTTCCAAGTGGTAAGGGTATAGTTCTCTTTAGCATCAGCTTTACGATGGAGAGAAGCAGGTGCTGTTCGGGGCAGAGAGGTGGTTACGCTGTGATGGAGAATGTTCTCAGGCAGGTGAGGACTGCGGACTGGGTGAAACCTGGGGATCTGGCAGGCATCACAAGCTAGAAGGATCCTGTGATGATCATTTCTCTTTTCCTGGTAGTTCCCTTACACAGACCTCCAGCAGCCAGTTTCATGCTTGCTGAAGAAATCCATCTAGCTACAGTTAAATATAAAGGCTTCAAATTAAAATGGATTTGAGTTGACCAACTAGCTTATCCACACTAAAATATAACCTCTTTGCGACCCTGTGGACTGTAACCTGCCAGGCTCCTCTGTCCCTGGGATTCTCCAGGCAAGAATCCTGGAGTGAGTAGCCATGCCCTCCTCCAGGGGATCTTCCCAACTCAGAGATCGAACCCGTGTCTCTTTAAGTCGACCTTCAGTGGCAGGCAGGTTCTATACCACTGGTTCACTCTGGGAAGCCCAAAATATAATCAAGTGAGCATGACATGCAGTTCTTTCCAGCTTTGACAAGGGGAAAATAATGGTCGTCTGAAGTGGGAAAGTACTCGAAGGGACAAGGATGAAGAAAACAAAAAGGTGAGATTTTAAAGAAGGCAAGCCAAAGACTTCATGATTTTGCCTTGGCCTGACCTAGTGATCCTCGTTTGGGTGAAGGAAAAACAGCTTGTACAGAAGTCTCTTTCTGAGTTAACTGCTGGTGTTTCTTTTCTGCTTGGCATCAAAGGTGAAGCATTTCTTTTAAAGCGCATGCCAGCTCTTTCCAAAGGGTCTCAGATGATCCAATAACTGAAGTATCACTGCAGAAGTTGAGACAAAATTCCTATTGCAGAACTCCTTAGTGTGCTTCATTTTTTAATCTCATTTCTCATTCCCCTTGTGGCTCCAAACACACTCTTCCTCCTCTTAGGCCCAGAGCGATTTCAGAGGATTCTGTAGCAAGTTCCTAGAGACCCATTGTGCAGTAACAAAGAATTCTCTGGAACTGCAAGTTCTGTCCTCACTTGCTTCCCTGAGTGGGAAGGTTACTCTCACCCCTCACAAATGGTAGAGGAGGATGGGCAGTGCCCAGGCCTGCAAGCTTGCCAAGAACTAGGAACTCAACATGCCAATCAAACCTGTTGGGTGGATATGTGGGCAGGTGTTGAAGAACTTTTCTGGAAGAAGTATGCACACTATTCTTGTGAAGGGGATGGGGGTATGGAAACTGGGAGTTAAATCCCCAAGGTGGACCCAGCATTCTGTGTTCTTTTGAATTTGTCTAGGACATTTTTAGTTAAGCATATTTTTACCCCCTAACTTCTTTTTGTCTTAGTTGAGGGGATCCAGAAAGTAATCATGGACCTTATAGATGAGTTTAAAGATGAATTCCCTACCATCCTCAGATTATCACAGTCTAATCAGGTAATGTGATTTTATAACTTTGAAAAGGATTGTAAAATGTATATTGTATTTTTAGTATCATACCAATTATTGAATTTGCGATTATGAGATCAGTATTTGAAACAGGAAAACATTCCTTTCACCTCAGAAAAACACCACTTCAACTCTGACTCGATGTAAAGGAGTCTATGTAAAGCAGAAAGTTTGTGGGCAAGGAAGTGAGGTAGGTAGATGAATTAAGTTTAAGGACAATCACTGTACCATTAGATTGGAAATCTAGAACATTCTCATAGCTACAGTTGCAACCTAGTTTACTTAAGATTTGAATAATGTAAAAATCAGAAAAATACCTAGATATACTTTGACTAAAGTCTGTGGTAATTAAGTAAGTGAAGAAATATAACTGATAAAAATGACACCACTGGAGAGGTAACTATGGCATGAGTGTGTGTTTTAATGTGGCAAGAACATAGTGGTATCAATTTCAGCAAAGTATATATGCATATGTTTTAAACACCTGTTCCAAAAAAGGTTTAAGATAAGATATGGGAGTGGAAGGAGCTAGGTAGAGAATCATAAAGACATTTGGTCAGGAAAAGGTAACATTTGTTTAGGGGACACATGTAACCTAATTTACTCAAAAGTACACAACTCTTACTGGAAGAATGGTTTCAGTCATTTTGGCCATAGTCAGAGTAGAATATGTTATAAAGTTATATGGTACAGTAACAACTTGCTTATCCAGAAATCAGGCTTTTGGCAATGTCAACATGAAGAATGTAACATCTGGAAGTAAACAAGAGAGTGCTCTGAGTAACACAGTAATCACAAAGTCTGTATATTTTGTTCCAAGGAGAGGTGTTAGAGCTACATTTAACCATTCATTCAGATAGCTGGCATTAGACATTTAATAAATACTTTGCCTGGATCTGGAAGAAGGAATACAGAGATACACAAGACAGCATTCCTTCAGTCAGTGAGCTTAGTCTAATGGATACAGAATTATAAACAAGTAGTTGCAATGAAATAGGGTACGAGGCATATACAATTTAGAGGAAGGAATGAGTCTGCATACTGCAGTCAGAGAAGACTTCATGGAGGAAAGATGCTTAAACTGGGTCTCAAAGGATGAATAGGAGTTTTCAAGGCGAAGAAAGGGATAAGGTAAGTGGGTAGGAACAGGGGGAAATATCCCAATGGAAGTACTGTCATGCCAAAAAAGTATGAAATGTTATAGCATATTTCCAGAATGTCAAGTAAATTTGAATAAATGGCATCACCCTTAGGTCTTAACTTTGGGAAGGAGTGATACTGAAATATAAGTTATCTGGATGCACAGTGGTAAGGTGCCAACTAGATGGTGGTTGGCTAAGTAGGGTAGAATAAGTCTTAAGGCTCTAGTGGGCAAATCAGACTTTGTAATTCTATATTTTAGTCCTAGTAACGAATTGCTTCCTTTTATTTGTATTCCCATAGTCTTGGTATAAATTATTTTGAAACATGAGAGACTTTTCTTGGCCATGCTCTGGATTATTGAGGAAAGAGTTGCTTGGTCTAGGAGATAAAATGGCTATGGTCAACACAGTAGTGGCAGTAATTATTGAGAAACTTTTAAGGTAAAGTCAAGGACGCCTAGGCCCGGAAAATCCTATTGTCCTTCCAAAGTGTGCTCCTCCCACCATTGCCAATGTTAGAGAAACTGGGTTTTATTTAATTAACGCTGCAACTTTCTTTACAGTTTCCTTCATTTCTTCCTACACTCTGCATAGCCTCATTATCACTGGAGCCATAAATATGCTTTATGGTGAAATAGATTGATATTCTGATCCCCAAAGAACTCGAAGCTCCTATTTCCAACTCACTGAAGCCATTTCCGTATAAGAACCACATCCCACCTTTGCAAAGAAGAATATGAACATAGTTAAAGTTATTTTATTTCTGATTTTCAAAGCACATTATTCTTTTGCCACCATTTTTCTTTTACCATTTTTCTTTTATCATTTTTCTACCATTTCTTTTTACCATTTTTCTACCATTATTCTTTTTCTACCTAACTACCTGAGTAGTAGCACATTGTAGCACATTGAAGTTATTTGCTCTTCAAAAATAAATTATCCAGAAAACAAGGCTAATATTATGTCCTTAACTAGATTATTGTTAAAAGTCAGATGGTAAGTGTTGCAGATTTTATTTCTAGTATTGTCTGTAGTTCCCAAACATCCTGAAAGGACTGATTTTAGGACTACTTAGAGGGCTTTAGTAATTGGACTGTATTTTAAATCTCTAAATTTTGTGATTAATATTTAAATTTTTTTTTTTTTTTAATTTTAGGCACCTATTTAGGAAAAAGTCATGTTGCTGGCCTGGGGTAAAAACAAACAAAAAAAAAGATTTGATGGAAGTGATGGTAGAGTTTTTATAGAAGAATATACCCAGAATAATGGTTATTAAATAGTCCTTCATGACAAAAGATTTTTAAGGACATTGTTTCCACGCCCCCCACCCCCCTCCGGCCAGGGCTGGGGAAAGTTAATTTTAGAATTCTGGCTTGAGGTTCTGGCCTCTGAGGTCTTGTATTGTCCACTCCCTCCCTTCCAACTAGCCCAGACCCCAAAACCTTCAGTATCCACATCTTTTAGTAAAAAGTAAGTTTTAAGGTTTACACTTGCAAATTGCAAGTGATTTCTATATGAGGACTTTAAAATACTAAACTTTTAAGTTTGAACAAATAAAAAATGCAGCTATAATTAGGGAATTAAAATTTTTTAGTTCAAATAATCTTTACTTGGATAAATTTTTTATGGTAAATAAGGTCAAATTTACTTATGAAAAGTAGTTACATAATCACCTTTTTTGTGATTATCTTGCACTTAACTGTCTACTACAAAATTGAGGATTGTAGACAGAGCACATTAGAATCCATGCAAAAACTGGATTTTTACATCTGTAGATACATTTTTCTGAACTCCATGCTTGCTTGCTTTTTTTTTTTTTAAACATGCGGGGCAAAAAGTGCTGGTGTGACGAAGCTGGTTTTCTCTGCCCATTGTGCAGCAAGCCTAATGCTGAGCTGCTGAAATTCGCAGCAGAGAAGGGGTTTATTCATAAGACAGCCAAGTGAGGAGACAGACACATCTCAGATCCATCTCCCCAAAACCAAGGGGCTTGGGATGTAGATGGTGAAGAGTATAGGGTAGTCAGAGGTGCAGGTGAAGGTGTTTGGAGGCAGGAAAAAGGTGAGGTAATGTCTGCTCTCTGTAGGCATATCAGAGTTACATGCTTCTTCACGGGATTCCTGTTGAGAAAACGGTGTTAGCCTGACCTGAGGGTGCAGCTTGTGGCCCTCTGATGTCAAAAAGTGACCCATTGCATACCTGAGCAGGCCTAGTTGAATGGCCATGTGATCTTGACTAATTTGAACTGGGAGAGATTAGCTCTGTTCCTGAAGCAGCCATTACTAGCAAGCCATATGTCAGAGGTGTTATCTATAGGGGTCAGTTAAAGGAGTCTTGTGATACATTTGTCTAAGCCATGTGACACTTGGAAGGTACACAATTTGCAGAAACAGTTAAGGCACGCTTGGTCAGTGAAGGCAGATCAATGAAGCAGAGGGTGTTTTGTTTTGTTTTGTCTTTTTTTTAAAAAAAAAAAAAAACAAGTACTGCCCTGCTCTTCTGTAACACTAGCTCAGGAATTGTTAGTCACCAGTTTCTGTCAACCCTATGGCGTACATCTTCAGAGTGCCCCCATGGGGCACAGTTATACTGGGGATATACCAATGATGTCTATAAATGGCTTGTATTGGTATATATTGGGGTTTCTAAGTATAATGAGAGTAGAACTGTAGCTAGAGTGTTCTGTAATTCAGTTGTATTTTTGTCCTTGATGAGGTGTTTTTGTTTTTGTTTTTTTTCTGGTGGGGCACTATCATTATTGGGAAACTTGCAGAGCTCATTGTGTACTGAAGAATTCCTAGATGGTTTCTTACTTAATATTTGCTTTATTTTCCCAGTGTTTCTCAACATTAACTTGTTATATTTTTCATTCATTCATTTGAATAAATATATTTACAGAGCATCTACTGTTTGACAGTCACTATTCCAGGCACTGGCGAAGGATCAGAGAGCCAAATGGATATAAAACACTGCTGCCATAAAACTTACATCCTAAAATAATACACCCCCAAACTTACATCCTAGTCAAGTATAAGAATAGTAAACAAGGAAAATAAACTACATACTATGTTGATAGTAGATCTCAAGGAGAAGAAAGCATAGCTGAGAAGGGGTATGAAGTGTAAGGGTGGGATGGGAGAGCAGCTGATGGGTAAGGTAGGGTGACCAAGGGGGTCTAAGTGAAAAAGTGGTTCTTGAATTGAGACTTGAAGGAGGTGAGGGAGCAAACCTTGGTGTCCCTAAGGACTAGAATGGCATCGTTAGTTCAGAGTCCCTGAGATGGGGGTCTACTTAACAAGTTCAACAAGTAATGAAAGAGGGCAAGGGAGAGAAAAAGACGATGACCCGGGGAGGTGAAGGAAAGGCAGTCTTTGTAGACCACTCTAGGTACTCAGGCGCATGCACTGAGTGTATCAGGCCACTGAAATGCTTGAGTAGAAAAGCAAGATCGGGTCTGATGTAAGTTTTAATCGTGTCTCTCTGGCTGATGTGTTGAGGAACAGAAAGAAAGTAGATATGAGGGTGGAAGCAGGGAGTCCATTGAGGAGGCTAATTTTCAAGTCTGGAGAAAAGATGATAGTGGCATGTGAACATTACTGGAATGAGTTGTTGGTACTGGGGCTGGTGAGAAGTGGTCAAATTCTGGGACTATTCAGAGAAAGAATTGAATAAGATTTGCTGACAAACTGGTTTCAGAGATGTAGGGTAGTAAAAAGCGGGTGTTACTGGAAATTGGAGTTCAGCATTAAAACTGCTGATGACAGAAAAATGGGCACCACTGTGGAAAAAAGAAAAGAGGAAAGCAGGATGTGCATTCAAAGAATGGAGCTCAAAAAGTGGAATCTG